CCAAGAAAAAGATAAAAATCATAAATATTTGTACCAAATACAAGTGTACCTAACTATATAAAACAATATTAATGAACATGAAAAATCAAATAAATACTAACACAATTGTAATGGGGGACCTTACTATCCCACTGTCAGAAATAGAACAACTAGACAAAAAAAAGTCAACAAAGAAATATCAGAACTGAACCAAACCTGTGAATAGATGGACTTAGTGGATGTCTACAGAGTGGCCCACCCCAACACTTCAGAATATCCACTCCTCTCAGCTAGGAATGGAATGTTCTCCAAAACAGATCACATATGAGCCTCTAAAACATGCTGAAATAAATGCAAAAAAAATATGAATTATCTCATGCATATTATCTGACCATAGAGCAATACAATTGAAAATCAATGACAAAAGAAACCACAAAAACCACATAAACATATGGAAGTTAAATTACACCCTACTGAAAGCCGTGTCACAGATGAAATTAATTATGCATGCTTATATCTTATAATATGAACAACTGCTTTGAAGATAATAATAATGCAATATATTAACCATTGTTAATTTCCTATTATTTTGTTTTTAAATTCTGTACCATTGGTTTTTATTGGGGTTTTTTCTCCTTAAAATAAAAAAGTAAAAAACAAAAAAAGAAGAAAGTAAACAGTATCTATAATTAAATGATAATGCCAAACAACATACCAGAATTTATGTGACACAATGAAAGCAATCCTAAGAGAGAAATTTATAGCGGTGATTTCTCATAGAAGGAAAACAGAACAAGCTCAAATAAACAACCTAGTGTTGAACTTCAAACTTCTAAAAAAAGAATAAATGAAGCTCAAACTTGTCCAAGAGAGGAAATTATAAAGATCAGACCAGAAATTAAAGCTCAGTTAGACTAAGATAAACAATGCAAAGAATTAAAGAATCAAAGAATTGGTGAGTTTGTTTGTTTGTCTTTTTGAGTCAAGGTTTCACTATGCAGTTCAGGCTGGCCTTAAGCTCACTGTTTAGGCCAGGCTAGCCGCAAGCTTGCAGCAGTCCTCCTGTTTTAGCCTCCCAAGTACTGGGTTTACAAGCATGTGCCACCACACCTGGCTAAGGAGTTGGTTCTTTGAAAGGGTAAATAAATTGATAAACTCTTACTCAACCTTATCAAAAGAGGAAAGAAAAGACTCAAATTCATGCAGTTAAGAATGAAAAGGGTGAAATCACAATGGATCCTAAGGAAATCCAGAATATCAATACCTACTTCAAGAACCTGTACTCCAGTAAGATGGAAAACACAGAAGAAATGGGAAGATTGCTATATACATATGATTGAATTAAAGAGATATAAAACTTCTAAATAACTCAATATCAGTCCAGGAAATCAAAAGTATAATTAAAACTTACCAACAAAGAAAAGCCCAGGTCCTGATGGATTCTCTGCTGAGCTCTACAAGAAATTTAGAGAAGATCTAATGCCAATACTTCTCAAACTCTTTAATGGAATTGAAAGGAAAACAATAAACTCAGACTCAATCCTTGAAGCATTACCCCAATACCAAAACTAGAGAGGAACCCAGCTAAGAAAGAAAACCACAAGCCAGTGAACTACAAGCCTAATGAACACATGCAAAATTCATCAATATGATACTGGCAAACAATATAGTGAATCATGAAGATTATACACCATGACCAAGTAGGATTCATCTCAATATGCAGAATGGTTCAACATACATAAGTCAATAAATATAACAGATCACATTAACAGAGCCAAGAAAAAATCACATGATCCTCTCATTAGATACAGAAAAAGCATTTGATAAAATCTAACACCCATTCATTTTAAAAACCCTAAAGAAATTTGAAATAGATGGTCATTATCTCAATTTGATAAAAGCCACCTATGACAAACCAACAGCCAACATCATACTAAATGGACAAAAACAAAGTTTTCACTCTAAAATCAGGAACAAGAGGGGGAGAACCAGCAGTGTCTCCTGAGATCCACGCCATGTTGGAACTCAGGACTCTGGGAAGCCAAGCAAGCACCTCCCCTCCCTGGTAAGCGGAGGCAGGGTGGCAGACTGCAGCCCTTCCAGGGGGAGAACCAGCAGTGTCTCCTGAGATCCACGCCATGTTGGAACTCAGGACTCTGGGAAGCCAAGCAAGCACCTCCCCTCCCTGGTAAGTGGAGGCAGGGTGGCAGACTGCAGCCCTTCCAGGGGGAGAACCAGCAGTGTCTCCTGAGATCCACATCATGTTGGAACTCAGGACTCTGGGAAGCCAAGTAAGCACCTCCCCTCCCTGGTAAGCAGAGGCAGGGTGGCAGACTGCAGCCCTTCCAGGGGGAGAACCAGCAGCAACTCCTGAGATCCGCGCCATGTTGGAACTGAGGATGCTGTGAAAACAAATGACCATCCTGCCTCCCTGCTTAGCACTACTGAACGTACTGCTACATGGCCTAGAGTCTAATATCCCACTTCCCTTATCCTCATTCCCCCCCCCCCGCCCATTAGCAAATGGGAACCAGAAATCTGAGCATCTCCTGGGTAGTTGACCATAGCAAATAAGGGGGACTTCCTTCTACCATTTCTTTGAAGGCAAATATTTTTATTACTGTTTCGCTCTTTTCTGATTAATAGTACTGCTCTATTCAATATTCTGTTTTGATAAGTTCTATAGTGTTCTATATTTCATCTCATTTTGATATACATGATTGAAAGAACAACTATATAAAGATAACAAAATATACTGTGATACCTATTACTGTTATCCCGTTAACTTACTGTGAAGTTCTGTACCAATTTCACTGTACGATCTTAGTTGGCTTTATTCTGACTTGTCCTGTTGTATACTTTCAAAATAAAATAAAATAAAATCAGGAACAAGACAAAGATGTCCATTATCACTCCTCTGATTCAATATAGCTGTGGAAATATTAACCAGAGCAATTAGACAAGAGAAAGAGATAAAAGGAATAACGATAGGAAAGGGAAAAGTTATCATTATTCATTTATGACATGATATTCTACATAGAAGACCCCAAAACTCCACAAAAGACTTCTAGATTTAATAATAGAAGTCAGTTGTGAGGCTGGATATAAATTTGACATTCAAATATCAATAGCCTTCTTGTATACAAATAACAAACTCACTGAGAAAGAAATCAAGGAAACAACGCTTTTCATAATAGCATCCAAAATAAGTTAAATAGTTAGGAATCAGTAAGTAAAAGATAGCTGCATTGAAAAACTACAGTACACTAAGAAGGATACCAAAGAGAATATCAGTAAATGGAAAGCTATCCCTTGCCTGTGAGCAGGAAGAACCAGCATAGTGAAAATGGCCAACTTCCAAAATTGTTAAATAAGTTTATGAAATCCCAATCAAAATTCTGTTAACATACCTCATGGAACTAGAAAAACAATCCTAAAATTCATTTGAACCCAGAAGAGAACTAGAATAGCTAAAACAATTCTGGGCAGCAAGCACAAGAAAGGGCACATCACAATGCCAGACTTGAAATTATACTACAAAGCTCCTGAGATTTAAAAAACAAAAAAACAAAAAACAGCACAGTAGTGGCAAAAAAAAAAAAAAAAGAAAGAAAAAAACAGACCTGAGGATCAATGGAACAGATTACAAGATACAGTCACAACTAGAAACAAACTCAGCCACCTTATCTTTGAAAAAGGGACCAAACACTGGAAAAAAAGGTAGTCTCTTTAATGAATGGTTCTGGGAAAACTGGTTTCCCATGTGCCAAAGATTAAACCTAGACCCATTTTTCTCACTATACATTAAACTAAAATTGAAATAGTTTAATGGCTGAAATATTAAAACAGAAATACTAAATCTGCTGAAAGAGATAACAGGTAGAACTCTTGAAGATATAGGTTCAGACAAAGACTTTATTTTAAAAACCCCACTTGCATGAGAAATATTACAAAGAATCAACTGGGGTCTTATCTTATTAAAAAGTTTTTGTACAGCAAAAGAAATCACCAACAGAGTGAAGAAACAACCCACAGGGGGTGGGGGGGACTAATATCTAGACCATATAAAGAACTAAAAAAAATAAGACCCCAAATTTAAAGACCCAATCCAAAAATGGGCATCTGAGATAAATACATAGTTCTCAGATAAAGTAATATAAACAGCAAATAAATATATGGAAAAATGTTCAACACCACTAGTTATTCAAGAGATGCAAATTAAAACAACACTGAGATTCCTTCTCACCCTGGAAAGAATGGTTATCATAAAAAAAAAAATCAACCAATAATAAACCCTGGCAGAGCTGAGGAGTAAAAGGAGCCCTTCTCCACTTTTGGTGGGAGTGTAGGCTGGAGCAACCACTGTGGAGAGTCTTCACAGAACTAGGACTGGAGGTACCATTTGACCCATCTGTTCTCCTTCTGGGTATCCTTCCAAAAGAACTAAAAGCATCATATACCACAGAAATGCATAAACATTCATGTTTATAGCAGCACGGTTTGTAATAACTAAATCTTGGAACAACCCAAATGCCCATCAATCAATGAATGGATAAAAAAGATGTGGGTTTTTGTTAGACAATGGAGCACTGCTCAGATACAAAGAAAGATAAACTTGAGACATTTATGGCTATGGATGGACCTTGAGACCATACTTCTAAGTGAAAAAATAGGACAAATGTGTAAATATTTCTTTGTCTCTCTGGTGTGGAAAACAAAGTATAAATGAGAACCAAAATGTGTAATGGAAATTGTAAAATATTTAAAAAATTATTCAAAAGAAAGGAAGAGTAAGTGAGGGAAAGATAAGAAAGAAAAAATGAGAAAAGGATAAAATGGAAACAAAGGTTTGTAAATAAGAAAAGGAAGAGGGGTTGAAGGAAGTGGAAAGGAATGGGGAAAAAAGAGGAATCAAGATAAGGTACAAATTCCCCATGATGAAAATGGTCATGTGTATCTTAACTGTGCCAGCAGACTGAATAAAAAGTAAATACATGAATAAAATAGAAAGCAGTGCGATTTTTTTTATTTGATGCAACCCATTTGACAAACAGTTAAGTATGCATTGGGGGAGGGAGCAAGATCCCCAGAGGGAATCAGGGAGAAGATGCGTCTCTCAGACCGGCTTTCAGTTCTGCTGAGATCAGCATGGGCAGGTAAGGTAATTTCAGATTGTGATTGGAGAAAAAGAAAATAAAACCAAGAAATGTGAGATTCAATGGATTGGGTGGAAGGGGGTGACTTGGAGGACTTCCCTGGGGAAATGATATTCAAATAATGAAAACAGCAGGATAAATACGGCTCGGGTAAAGGAACCAGGTACAGTGTCCTGGGCAAGAGTTTGGCGTCTTACAGGAAATGAAGGGCAGCTATTGCAGCTGGAACGAATGGGCCAGGGGACAAGACAAGCCCTGAGGTCCACATCAAGCAGCAAGGGAAAACTCATAATTGGCCTGGCATGGAGGCACACATACAGTCCCAGCAGTCAGGGGGCTGAGGCAGGAAGATTGCTGCCAGTCTGAGACCAGCCTGGGGCTACATGGTGAGTTCAAGGCCAGTCTGCACTACAATGTGAGACCCTGTCAAAAAAAAAACACAGAAGTTAGGGTTAGGGGGCAGTATTACAGTACAAATTAAAACATTTTGGCAAAACAATAATAAAAAAAAAGATAACAATTGAGACAGAAAAAAAGCAGAAAGACAGTATAATTTGGTCTTGATAATGCTAACAATATCCCTTTATAAGATAAATGAGTTGAGCAAATTCAACATACTTAAATTTTTGGCCTATTTGAGTGTTTCACTTTCTAATGTTGGCAGATATAAAGGAGGAGCCTGTGGTCCTAGTTTAGGCCAAACACAGAACAAATCTCAGGCACAGTGCAAGAGGAAGACTGAAGGACTCCTCCGGATGTGTCCTTCAGGAAGAAGGACGGTCCCTTTATCCTGGCAGAAGAAGTGCTAGTGGTCCTGGTTTTTCCTCAAAAAAAATGTCAGCTGGTATAACACGAGCACAACTTGGTCAGAAGCAAGGAGAGAAAATGCCTTTCTGATTCTTAAAAATAGGGAATGAGATGTCAGGAAATACAATAATCCTGGAGGTTTCCTGGTGAGTTGGAACAGAAATAGGAATCACAAAGAAATCGGAATCCCAGCCCTGCACTCTGGAAAGTCAGTCAACAGAACAGCTACCTCAGCAGCGTGGAGGAGGATGTGTTGAGATCCGGCTTGATCAAAACCTGAAGCAATAGTAATAACAACTGTGGGAGTAATAAAACCCAAAAAGTGTAATTGTTATTGTAAAAAAGAGAGGAAAGGAAGGTGGACTAAGGGATATAACTGCATGTATGTTTGAGTGTGTTGGATGGAAAACCATATTACTGAGCTTTTGTTGGATCATTGAACTGAACTGTCTGCAATCTCACTGTATGAATGTCCACTTTGTATGCTTTAATTTTATAATTTGGACAACTATTTCTAAGATGACAATATGTAACATATTAACTAGTGATTTCTTACTGTATATTTTTTCTTGAAATTCTGTATTACTTGTACCCTTTTACTGCTTTTTTTTATTTCCTTTCTTTTTTCTCTTTAAATAATAAAAAAAAAAAAAACCTAAAGCAATACATGTCTGAGCCCACTCTCCCCCACCAAAAAGCTTTGTGATGGGACACGTACCACCCAGACTCATCTCCCCTCATGACAGCACTGTTCTCTGAAAATGAAAGGGTTCAGAATTGGAAAGATTTTTTTTTCCATGAATATGTCTTATCTGTCAATAGTAGATGTTGCCAAAAGGGTTGAACTATCCTAACCCTGCTTGTCAGAAGTTCCACAACCAGGAGAGAATGATGCCAAAAACCAGAGGAAAGAAGGCAGAGCCCAGGCTGGAAAAGTCTCCTGACAAACACTGTCTCAAAAATATCTTTTTTCTCCTCCACTCTGCTAAGAGCACACTTTTCCTTTCCAAAATGTCATTTGTTTTCCGAAAAGTGCCATCCTCCTCCTGTCTGAAGGTGATGTAATAAGCCCCCAATTCCAACCACCTATTTGAGTTACATTTGTCTGTGAATTCAACCTGTATGTGAATGAAAATCTGTCTTCTCTCTTGCTTTTCTTTCAACTGACAACAACAACAGGATGTTGTCAGTTTAACTCACAGGTCCCCAGTTACTAAACCTGAGAGGGGTAGAGAAAAAGCTTTTATTCTCTGTCAGAAAGAAGAAAATGAATTTCTTTTATAAAAAAGAATATGGCTTCATAAGTTAGTCCAAAATAAAGAACAAAACATTTTCTTAAATCCTACAAAGGACTTTAAGGAAAAATGAAAATGCAAGGTATAAAATAATAAAATTTCATGAATAATTTGTTTCAGGTCACAGGGCCCTAATAAGTGGGTTTTCTCTTTCACGTAGTCAAAAGGTAAAGAAAATCATGGTTTATTTTTGTTGTTAAAAAACAGAGAAAAAGAGGTAGCCATACCTCACAGAAGGTAAAATATTTATCACCTGGAGCTACAAGGGAATTTCTCACCTGGAACTCTGCTAATGGGGCACTGACTCATGAGAGGAGATGTCTTGGGCACATCCTACTGACAGCATAGGGTCAGATTCCACGGGGAAGATTCTGTAGCATTCCTCCAAGAAATGCAAGAACAACAGGTCAGTGGAGGCCAGACATCCACCAGAGCCCAGGTGGGGTAACCAGTTCCTTCGCACCCTATTTGCCAGGCATTCTTTTCCCATCTTGCTGATGTGACTTGGCCACAGGCTTCGTGGTGACAGTGATGAGAAGCTATAGGAGCCAGAGCACAAGCACCTCAGCTCCTAAGGACACGGCAGGTCATAGATGTAGCACACTGTCAAAAAATATACAGGTTAAACACCTTCAGTCTAGAAATCTGAAACCTAAAATGCTCTAAAAATCAAAACTTTTTGAATATATCATGTAATTGAAAGTTCTACACCTAGTCTCAGATAAAAGGTCTCCACCAACATATATCTAAAATATCATACATGATTACTTCCAGACTGTGCACATAAATGAGTTCTGTCCCATCCCCAAGATATTTCTTTACATATACATAAAGATTCCAAAATCAAAAAACAAAAAATCTGAAACATTTCTAGTCTTAAGCATCTCAAGATAAGGGATACATAAACTCAGGACATAAACAATGAAGAAGAACATTTCAGAACACATGCTATTTTGTTGTTATTTTGCTTTATTGGTATCCATAGTAATTAAAGTACAATTAAGAGAAATTAAGCCGGTAGAGATACAGGCTAAGAAAGTGACTCATCTCTTGCCCTCCAAATATGTGAATTTTGAAAATCTATTCACCTTCTGTGCCTCCATTGCTAAAATAAGCTGTGGAAAAGTTACACAAAGCATTGTCTAGAACTAGGGGAAATGCATTCCTGTCATTATAGATAGCACTAGTGTATTACTTGTTTCCTAAAGAAGACCAAAGCTGAATTCCTAACACAACCATTCACATGCATAATAACCAATTCATTTGAGAGTCCATCCCTTCCTAGAGAGTTACAAGTATGAACCGGAAAAAAAAAAGGAATGAATTTGTCCTTGACATCAAAGAATTATTTCCTAGAAGGAAATGGAAAGTCAAAATTATCAAATATGGAAAGTCTAACAGTTGGTTCTGATTTTCCTTACCCACGGGGTAAAAGTGTTTCCATAATCAAGAACTGAAAGGAAAGTAATAAACAATTTTGTCCACATGTTTAAAATAGAGCTGCAACACTTACTTCTCTTTCTCTAATTGCTTCCAGGAAGTGATTTCTCTTGATATGCTTTTTGATGGTGAAGTACAACAAAGCGTGTCACTGTTATTTGAAGACTGGTCAGCCAGTTAATCATGGACCAGTTAGTCAACTAATTAGTGGACAGAGGCAGAAAGAAGACATTTATGGAAAATGCAGTGAATGATTTCTTGCTATTAGAGGATAGTATTAAAGTATTATGGCTAAGAGTAGGACTCTGGAGTCAAAATGCTTCAATATAAGTACTGGCTTGCCAAAGAGCAGCTTAAATGCCTCTCTATATTTCTATTTCCTTTTGTGCAAAATGATGGTAACTATAAGCAGACCATTGGGTTGTCTCTAGGTTTAAATAACACAACTATTGTAATGTGTTTGGTATATATTCTACTTAAAGCCAGTACTCAGAAAAGCTCATTGCAAAGCAGAGTGACTTGTGCTTGCTCTCGTAGGCACCTATCATGGGGTGGGCCCATTAGGTAACCGCTGGGAACCAGCAGGGGCAAAGCTGTGGTGACATATTCTTTTCAATCATTTCTATTCCCGAAGAATGTTTTTATGTTAAATACATTTTCTCCTCCAAAAAATTGTTTTGCCCTTACAAACGGCATTTCCACATTTCAAATGCCACTTACATTTACCTTAACTAGCTAAAGAACATTCCATACTATAGAAACACATTTAGAAATAATGAAAAGAAACAATGAGATTCCATATGGAGACAGAAGACAATGAAAATGTGTTCATGATCTGAACTTCATAAATTATAACTGGAATGTTTGTACAGCTGTGCTATTTAATTAGTTTACTATCTGCACAGAATTATGAGCAATGTGAGAGAAAAACTGCAGACTGTTCTTTTTATCTGGTGGGAAGCTGACACAAAATTTGTTGCAAAAGCAATTTGGTTTGCAGATGGAAATAATTGGCTTACCTTGATTTCATCACATTGGGGAAAAGATCAGAAAGTGCCACAGTAAAGGATAGGAAGGTTTATATTTTGCATATGTCAAACACATTTGGGGGTTGATGATATAGCTCAGTGGTAGAGAACTTGCCCAGCAGGACCAAGCTGCAATCTCCAGCTTCATACACACACAAGATAGGATTATCACATCTAAGAGAATCCAACAGAAGCTTTGAAGATCAAATGATAGAAGAATAGGGATAAAACAGGAATAGGCCTCCTGCTGCCACAAGTGAACCCCATCCTAATTATGGCTAATACTGAACCATTTAACCCAGATTAAGTCCTCCTGAGAGCACTTACACTCTAATCTCCTAAAATAAAATCTCCCTCCCTTGAACACAATTTTCAAAAACTTTATCCACCTTACCAATCTAAAAATAAAAGTTCACAGCTCCCCACATCAATAAGACTGGCAACTATGCCTCGTTGCTCCTGAGGGCAGTACAGCATAACCCTCAGCCCTGTGCCTCTCGGTCTAGGCAAGGAGGCAGCGAGGAAATTCCAAAATCACAAGATTTTGAGTCTATTTGGGTTCAACTTCTAGTTGTTACCAACTTGATCATCTTGGACAAATAAGAAAGCCTCACTAATCCTTCATCTCCCTTGCTGAAAAGGAGGACTAACAAAACAGTTCCTTGAGAGGACAAGAGACCATGGATATTAAAAGCCTTTGTAAAGTAACCTGCTGTCAGAGTTTAGTCATCATAAAGACTGTTTGACAAAGTTTCCAAGAACTGATTCATCTTCCTCAAAAAACTGTGACTTTCTTGGGAACAAATATTGTTTTCTTATTTTTTGAATACCTGTTAATTTTTAAGAAGTTTTTTGTTTTTTGTACTGGGGATCAAACTCACAGCCTTGTGCTTGCCAGGCAGTGCTTGTGCCACTGAGCTAAACCCCAGCTCTTCACAGAGTACACAGAAAAAACACTGCACTCTGTAACTTGGGTTTGACTTTCTTCCATGATCATTTAATCTCCATGATCCCACTTTCCTCTGCTCAGAAATTTATTTTCTCATGCAACAGGAAGCCCACAGGTAGTAAAGTATTTAGAGCTAATTAATTCTATGGCTTGATGATGTCCTCAGAGATCACTTCCTCTGCTCTATTGTCCAGAGTGTCACCCTCACGCTGTAATCTGTCAGGTGATGACAGCAGCAGTACCTGGGGCCACATTTCCTTGTTCACAGTGCTCCAGGAGTGTGAAGATACATCCTAGCTTTCAGAAGGGGACCAGCCACAGCCACCAGTACAAGCTCCCCAGCACACTGACTGGCCCAGGATGATGGTCCTGCGTGGCTATGCTACTTTAGAATCACCTGGGTACTGTTTAAAACATCTGGTTCCCACAACTCAGGTGCCCTGATATGATAATCGTAGGTGGATCTAGGGCATCTTAATTTAAGAAAAACAAACAAAAAGGAAAGGTCTGCAAATAACTTAAGGATACTGCCAAGGATGAGACACTTTAAAATAATTAGGGTACCTTTAAAGCCAGTGGTGGGGGTATTTACAAAATAACCAAGAAGCAGATACTGAGGTGGCTCAGGCTTACTGTATACACATCCCCTTAAACATTCAAAGTGTATATTTGAATCTTAGATGTTTGACAGTGAAGAAAATCAATGCCTTCTCACTTTTTTTTTTTTTTCTCAAAGAGAGATTGTGGTCAACAGAATAAATGAATTAGACATAGATGAGCAACACCACGAACAAATGGGGTCCCAAAAAGGACCCCATTAAAGGACATATGGCTCAGAGACCAAAGTAAAATAGTGATTCAGAAATCTAAACAGATAAGAAAATCGATATCAGAGCTCAGGGGATCATGATGATCTCAGGCAAAAACTACTTCCATTAGGAAAGCAACCAATTCCAGAAGGCAGACAGCTCAATCCCAGAGAATACAACCATGGTGGAAAGGAAATGAGCTAGAACTGGTATACGGAGAAACAGCAATCACATGTACCCTTTCAGGTAAGTGGTCATCTTCATTTTATAGAAGCACAAGAGTAAGAACACTCTTCCCAGAATATATGAGGCAAAAAGTGGGTACATTAGACCTCTGAAAGGCAGTATTACTCATTATTGGGCCTCTAGAATTTTCCTTGCTGAGGTACAAGTTTCAAGACATGGGACATCAAACATTGGGTTTGTAGCCAAAAGGAATTAAAAGTTCACAACATTAATAACTTCAAAACTAGGTAAAGAGGCGGCGAGGAAATTCCAAGATCACAAGATTTTGAGTCTGTTTGGGCTCAACTTGTAGCTGTTACCAACTTGATCATCTTGGACAATTAAGGAAGCCTCACTAAGCCTTAATCTCCCTGGCTATAAAAGAGGACTGAGGAAACAGAGTTCCTTGAGAGGATAAGAGACCACGGAAGTCAAAAGCCTTCGTAAGGTAACAGGATTAAATGAAAAACATAGGGAAACGTAAGATAGTCCAGTATGCTAGAAGTACAAGACATGAAAGCAGAAGTGATGGAAACATTTTATCAAAACGGCATTAATGAGGTCATTCGTGATGTTAGAATGTGACAACATAAGTCTCAAGTACAGAAGCAGAATTACACAGAACAAGGTTCTGGCAAAGTCACAAACAGGAAGCACTTGTGCGAACTCCATGTGACAACATCCCTTTGGGAAGAGCATTAATATGATGAGAAAGAGTACAATATGGTCCAGTCTAAAGAAGCATTTAGCTCATTCCTGACCTCTGCTTGTACTCGTTTAACAGTTGGAGACTCAAATCAGCAGATACTATGGAAGGGTGACTCTCTCACACATCACTTAAACACAAATGTGAATCAGGATGCCCTTCTGTCTAAATTCAACTCCTAATCTTTTAAGAGGATCCCATCTTGCTGGGGATTTAGCTCAGTGGCATAAGTGCCTACCTGGCAAGTGCAAGGTCATGAATTCGATCCCCAGTATCAAAAAAATAAAAGAGGATCCCATCTCTTTGTCTTAGATTTCCATCTGCCACAAGTCTTGGAAAGATTATCAGTCATGTATCCTACTTTCTCATTAAGAGCTCCATATTACACCTTTTTCATCTCTGCAAGGGCAGAAGTAGAGGGAGTTTGGAATGAGAAAGTCCAATTA